CTTAACAGTGTCTATCTCCACTGGTGATAAATCCTTCAGTCTTTGGGTTTGTATTGAGTCTGACGTGTGGTATATGACCAATATCGTAATATAGTAAGAACAGTTTAAAATAATGACTACGACACGAATACTTTGCGATAAAAAATTATGTATAAATATATATACCAAACTTTAGTCAAGGATAATCAGAACGCCCACTTTTACGACTGACTAAAATAAACAATAGTGATAATGAAAACAGAAATCAAATTTATGTTCAATACAGGGCTCACCACTTTCGTAACCACAGGTTTACCTCGTTCTATTGATAAAAGAAACCGGACTACTAGCAGATAGGTCTTTATTTAGCTCATGGGACAAGAACACCGTGGAGCAGGAGATGACCTGTTCAGACACACGAAGCTTTTCAACGTCCAATATAAGATAATAGGAAATACAATGACCATACAAATTAAGAAAGAGAGTGGTTACTAGAGCTCTATTGTTTTGATATATGCTTAGTTGTTTGGGGTCAACTCTTAACTAATCAACCCAAGTTGTTACATGTACAAACCACGTTAACATGTACTCAGCTGAGGAATATGACAACAAGAAAAAGGATCTTGGGGGAAAAAATTTTTAAAGTTGACACTTGACCTATGGAACTGCAGTTAAGAACATGGCAGGTATAATCGGGAATTTTCATAAGTGGTTGCTGTAGTTAGCAACATTCATAACTATGTAAAAGTTATAGTCAGAACTGAGAAGTGTCGAATTAATTTTGGATATAATATGGTTCTCCCACGAACAACACACTTTCTCATAGTAGTATGTTGTTGTTTGAAGCTGAATAATATAAAGCGGTTTCGGGAAATGGTTCATACGAAATATATATCACCAGTCTAAGTGAAAGCGTATACATGTTATGAAATGCCAAAAACATGGCAAATCACCCCACAAATTAATAAAACTCGCCTGGATTAGTTTCAAAATGTAGACTGTCTGATAAATTTGGTGTACAGAAAGTCAGCCGTGACACAGTATAAATCGAAAGGGGACCAACTTAAGCATGCATCATTGCTACTAACTCCATGTGCGCGATGCTGCTGACTTTGCCGTTCGGCTGATTCAGTATAAATCCAAGAGTCCAGACAGATACGTAGCCATCACTGTATGGAAAATCGTAAGTTTGTGAAGTATTGTCTTCGTTATTTGGCGATGGAACTCAAAGACGGGAAAATCGACAGGCAGTGGTTGGAAGGAAGTATATTAGGGGATAACCCATGGTTTAACATAGAATAGAATGTTAATTGGAGAAACAAAAGAAAGAATTACATTCAGATAACTATCCTGTCCTTGCTTACAATACTAGCCAATGTGTGTTTCCGTGGATTAAGGGCTGTACTTGCTGGTGTTTGGAGCTCGATTCCATTGAAGAATATAAGTGATACTAAAGCTTGTTAACAAATTATAAGAGTTCATTATGAATAGTCCTATCTTCAAAACCGGTACTAGACACAAACCTGAGAATTGTTGACTCTCAAGCTTAACCTATGCGGTGGTAATAATTTTAGAAAAAATATCCCGGAGTTGTTTAAGTATCTAGACAAAAATAAGATTTTTTCTAAAAAAAAACAGCATGGCTTGAGAACAGGTTATTCGTGTCTCACAAATTTATTGGTATTCAGTGAAAGTTTGAGTGCTCTGAGAGATTGAAAGCTATCATTAGATGTAGCATTCAGCGGATTCAGTAAGGCTTTTGACAAAGTTCGAAGCAACATGCTGTTATAAACAAGGGACTTCCAAGTTTGGCGTCAACAAAGGATACGGACAAACTTAAAGTTGTCTAGTTAGGAAACTATGCCTAGCGGAATATCCATAAAAACAGTTTTAGAACCTGGATTGCTACTCCTGAATGTAAATTACATTCTTAATCTCCTACAATCAACAGTTTTCTTATATACTGACGATCTCAAGATATGGAGAGCGATGAAAATGAAGGTGATAGTTCAGAGCTTCAAAGCGAACCGCAGGAACTATCTCGGTGGTTTAGAATTCGGTAGTTGCCGATAAATACTTTAAGTGCATTATGATTCATATTGGTCACCAAGGTGCAAGTACATACAGTGAATAACATTGGGCTATCTGTTGTCCAGACGCACAATGACTTAAGTGACGTCGTTAGCCAGATTATTTATTTCTTTATTTATTTGTTACATGCATATTGGTACAAAGGAATACTAAAAACATATGCGCCACGTAATAACGAGAATTTAAAGGAACAGAGAATGTAAGGTGCGCATAAGAAAAAAGGAAAACAACGAAAAGAAATGAGTGCATAAGAGAGAAATAATAATAATGGGAGAAGCAGCTCAGTTAGAAAAAGGAGAACCAGGGAGAATTCCTCCAATTAAAGAAGTTACGTCAGTATTTAGGAAGGGAGTCAAATTAAGATAAAGCACAATCGCCACTAGCTTCTGAACTGAGCCATATCTGATAACGTCTCTAGCCACTGTGTTGCACCATCTATAGGACCTCAATTAGGAAGTTGTGAAGGGCCAACAAAAGCCAGTCATGCACAACATTCTTTTATACCTCAACACTATGTCATATACTGACCACCTCTCCATTCTTCCCAATCAGTCCCAGCATCGAAAAATAATACACGACGTGGAATTCTCTAGGACGACATTCGTAGGACATGTCCAAGCCACCAAAGTCGATCTTTCAAGATGGTGATATCAATTGGATTATCGTCTCTGCGCACGAACACCCGATACCAAACCTCTGCATTACTAACACGGCGTTGCCACTGGATGTCAGCAATCCTTCGGAGACAACGATGACCGAACACATCGTACACTAAGACAATATCATCCGCATACTCAAGGTCGAGAAGTCTTTCTCCAGACAACAGATCCACACCGTCATTACCTACATACATCAAGGCTGTTTATAGAACGTCACTGATAACAAAGTTAAAGAGGAATGGTGAGATTGGGCAACCCTGTCTAACCCCGTCGGTTGAACGGAGCAATCGAGCCAGGTGGTTGAATGCCTTCACTCTGCCTGAGGTGTTTGTATATAGGGCCTTTAGGATGTTACTAAACTTCTCAGGCACACCCTTCTTCAATAGACAATCCCAGAGAACAGTCCTGTCCAACGAATCGAAGGCAAACCTGATTTTAAAAAAGACTATTATAAGTATGGTGGTTTTCTAATATTTGGTGGAGGGTGAAGATATGATCAATACATCCTCGACCAGAACGAAAACCATCCTGCTCCTCGTTAGTTAATCTTTCTCGGGTTTTCAATAACTTACGAAGTATGGCGGAGGCCAGTAGTTTGGACACAATCGGAAGTAGACTTACTCCTCATAGTGGTTACAGAAGCAACGCAAACCTTTTTTAAAAATAGGGACAACTATCGATTCATTCTACGACGTTGGAACACTTTAACCAGAAACAGGTTGTGATCTGCCCACAGTTGCAGTAGACGGTCCCGTTATCTGTCCTGCGATCAACAAGTCCCCACCGGCCACCTAAACGACTCTCTTCTGCGCCTAGACGCCCAACCTGAGAATTCAAGTCTCCGGCTAGTACTACAATATCTATCAAACGCACATTCTGGAGAAGAACAGTTAACTGGTGGTAGAATTCATCCTTGATTGCATCCGGGCTGCAATCTGTCGGAGCATAGGCGGAGATGACGAAAAGACATCGTTTCTCACGCTGATTTCTTCTTATTTTGATGGAACTTTCTAATCTAACAACACATAACCGATTGTTAGTGGGGACTCAATCGATTAGTGCTGCCTCAGCTCTAGCGCTTAGTGCGACACCAACGCCAGCAAGACCAGACGATACCACTGGGTCCCCGGATAAACGCACGTAAAACAAGCTTATTGAAGCGACAGATGGAGAGCGAGTTTGTAGTACTTCACCAGAGTCTTGAATACGGGTCTCGGATAGACAACAAACGTCGATACTAAGACTTTTCAAAGATATAGCCAGCCCTATCTGTTGTCCGACCTGCACACGCGTGCGAACGTTGAAGGCAGCCAGTTTGAATGGTGCACGTGGTTTCAGAAAAACTGTCTCAACATTGGTGTTCGGTAGAAGCACTCAACTTTCGGCCACACAGTGACTCAAGGTCGTTTAGATAGGACAGGGTTCTCACCACAGGGGAGTTGCTGTATAAATTAAAAATAAGAATAGAGAGTGAGAATAAAAGAGAGTAGGTAAGCGATATAGCATGTAAAAAGTAAAAATAAAAATGAGTGTTTTCAATGGATGTGAATTATCTGAATTTTTAACTGAAGCGAGAATAGCTTTTCCAGTTTTAATTATCAATCCATTTGATTTCCGTGTGAGCTGTGATACTGTCTAGGCGCCCAGAGAGAAGCAGGTGGTTTTCTTAGACAGCTACACCCGGAGCCTTTTACTTAAGGGTCTAATCTACAAGGCAGTTGAGCAATGTTAGGATGGCATTTGGGGGCACTGTACAACTCATCCAGCCTTAATACAAAAATATACTAGCAAGAGTAAGTACAAGAAACACCGTGCGACCACTGTCGCATGGCCCAATGCATGTCTTGCAATTAATTGATGAGCGCTGGTTGTTCTTAACCTCGACCAGGACCGATAAATTGCCCGATCTTCAGTGATACAACTCACGGATGTTTTGGAAAGGGCCATGCCATTTCATCCAGATTAAACAGGCGTTCGGACTGGTTCCAAATACATTGGGAGTAGTTGCGCGCCGGAGTTAGCTGAGCGATGCATACCCCCCGGGTATTACTGAACTGAAAGAAAAATGGAAAGGAGAAGGCAACGACTGTTCGGGATATAGCGAGTAACAACAAACCTGGTTATGTTGGATTTGTCGATGTGGTCAGAAGTATGGCATGCAGGCTGGTTGAATGCTAAGCAATTAACAATTACAGAAATCTGTTTGAAGCAAGTGAGAGTAGTTTGAAATCAAGAATTTTGCATTGTTTAAACTTTGTCTCTGGGTCTTTTAGTGGGATCTATAACCACAAGGTCACTTGTGGTCCGTCCTTGTTAGTAGTATGGCGCTGCGAATTTTCGTTGTGGTTAAATTTATTTATGTACTTTAGAGTGCTTTAAATACCGTTTTTTGTGGCATCCTTTTTCCAGCAGAATTTGATTTCGAGATAAGAAAAGCTATCTACTAGCATCATTTTGTATTCTTCCTTCCCTCCACAACTTCCATATGTCGATAGTTTCTGAACATCTGGCATCATCTAATGAGTATTTACTGCACATAGTCCTGAAACTCGGACTACTGTCATACAAGACGTAGATGTACACTCCAGAAGTTTTAGTATCCTAATCTCCCTGTTTAGCGGAAATTACATAAAAATTCCGAAGTTTCTCTAGATCTGAGAAAGTCCCCAAACTTTTGGAAAACCACTAAACTTTGAGGAGGAGCATTGGACTTTGTGGAAAACCCCCAAGTCCACCCAAAATAGGGAGATTGAGGTATGTTACAGGATTTTCTACCATAAAATCGTCTAGCATATTGGATTAAGATTGTTTCAAAGCCATTTACACGTGAGTATTGTCGCACAGGTAGTAAAGTTTAGACCCTTATTTCTCCAATAATTGCTCACGGGAGTTTTCTGCGAGTCTAACACTCATCTCAGGTTTTTTAAGCAATATGAAATACTCTAAGGGGAACTAAAGTAATACTCCGATATCTGGAGCTAATCTTCAATTTTTTTATCACTTGAAGCACTCCATTAAGACAGGCTTTTATTGATTCCTCAATATCCACTGTTTAAATATTCTGGTGTGCTGCAACTAGCAGCAACTACTCTGTCACATTTTCACAATATTGGATACCAAAAAAGACTAATTGTTAACCATTTAACAGTTAGTTTAGTTTTTGACTGGCGTTCCACCTAGGACACGTAAATGGATAGATTCAGTGAGTCTTTAGGCCAATATATTTTGCTTTCTAATTGCCTGTTTTCTGTGTTTCGTTATATTTTAACTCTTCTAAAAACTGCAATCGTTTTAAATACAAATATTTGTTATAAAAATTGGACCTTATTACAAGTTTGCTCATCGTATTTGTGGTTTCTTTTGTGAAGGAGGAACGATGCACAGTTCTGCTTTCAGCCATACTGAACCTATGACTCTAGGTTCTCCTCCAGTAAACTCGATTGGGACAGGGTCAAGTACTTCACCAAGCACTTGCCAATATCTTCCAGGATTTTTAATGAGTGAAAATCCACAGGTCTTAGAGACGGTATCGACAAGCTCAGAATCTAAAGTTTCACGCCAAAATGCATTTTCACTTTCTGGGAATTCGCACAATATACCAGTGAGTTTTTCAAGTATTATGTTGAGGGAGGTTTTGTAGTTATGTTATCTATATAATGTCTAAGCTCACACTTTACTGAGTATAAGCACCTATAAGCTACTTAGATTTCATGGTGGTAATTGTTCCTAATTCTAGTAATTGGTCCTAACCAACATGTTTTTTGTTATTTGCTGTGTTTGGGAACAGTACACCTGTGTCTTGACAGTTGAATGACAACCGATTATATGATAGTTCATGGTCATGACATAGAGCAATTTAATAACATAATGCATATTATAATTAAACTGAATCTTATTTATTTTCTTTTTTAAATAAGGATGTAGTTGAGATTACACCACTCGATAACTGTTTTGATTGGTCTCATATTCTCTAGTGAAACGGATTAGTAATCGTCACAGTTGTACTGTGACGCACCGTGGAACTATTTTTAAGGAGTACATATTATTCTTCTGCTTTAACAAGTGAGTTCCACTGAACTTGGAAGATGCAACGGTGATCAGATAAGGAAAAAACACAGTTCTACGACGTTATAAGCATCCGAACAATATTACTGTGTCTTTGAAGTGGCAGCATAATACGACTTAAGACCTCCCCACGGCGTTGCTGGATAGTAGGGGCAACCTTGCTAGCTCTGAAGTATAGCCATTCGTCTTAACTACTAAATCATAAACTGAAAACGATTTTATTTGACAGTTTTCAGAATCGCATGCCGAACATGCTTGCATTGTTGCTGACCAATGCAAGCATGTTCGGCATGCGATTCTCCCCCTCGAAATGCAAAATGTTGCTTCAGGATTGGGTTGCATCGACACCCGAACTAATGATAGGGAGTGAATTAGTTGAGCGTGTCTATCGCTTCACTTATCTTGGAAGCCTCATCAGCCCTTGTGGTCTGGTGTGTGACGAAATCTCAGCACGGATACAGAAGGCTCGACTAGCTTTTACCAACTTGCGTCATTTATGGCGTAGGCGAGATATCCGTCTACCAACCAAAGGACGGGTTTACTGCGCAGCAGTTCGTTCCGTCCTACTTTATGGCAGTGAGACATGGCCGGTAAGAGTAGAGCATATTCGTGGGTTACTAGTATTCGATCATAGATGTCTTCGAAACATTGCTCGTATATCATGGGACCATCGAGTAAGTAACACAGTTGTTAGGAAAGGGGTACTAGGTAAGGATGGAAAATCAATTGATGAAGTAGTGAAACTTCATCAGTTGAGATGGCTGGGACACGTGTTACGTATGCCCAACCACCGACTGCCTCGACGTGCTATGTTCAGTGGTATAGGAGTAGGTTGGAAGAAAGCTAGGGGGGCCAGACCAAAACATGGCACAAGTCCATGAAGTCACTGACAAGTGCTCAGAGTGAGTCATGTTGGTAGGTGTAGACTACCTGGTTGGGGACCACGAGATGATAGCAACCGATGGTTAGAGACCCTGAATGACATGGTTGAAAATCGTTTGCAATGGCGCAGGTGCATCCACTCTTTGTGTTCTCCCAAATTTTAATCTCCTGATTCCTCCTTGTCTCTTTCTCTTCCTAGATTTATTTCACTGGATTATACTCTTTAAATAACATCTCCAAACCCTAATCTTCCCGATTACTGCTTATACTCTTATTACCTCTACCACTACGGGATTTGAATCGACAACTGCATCTCTGTGCTGATGTGGTATGGCAACTCGAACTGATGTACGTACGTACGAAGTTCTACGTTGTTACTGACTGAATGACTTAACTAGATGATTTCATGGGTTTTTACGCACTATGCATAATTCACGTCTAGCGTTTTACTGGGTTGTGAGAGTCATGAAATATTAAATCCTGTTGAACGTGATCGTTGGGACAGCAAAAGTTGCTGGTTAGATAAATACTGGTACAGATATTTCTCATAGATCAAAAACAATCTTTATAGACCATCTGTTAAGAGTCGTGTTTGCAGTGCTTCTTATGCCTGGGGTATGACTGGTTAGTAATGATAATCTAATCCAGTTGATGCTTAAAAAGCCATATATTTTTCGTGTTAACCTCCACACACTAGGTGTACCTCATTCGAACAATTGAATGTAGGCTGATGATATTTGTCCTCGTGGACTTTGCCCCCAAATGCCCTGGTATGGCCGAGAGTGGAGTGGGCCCGCCCTCCCTCTCGAAATACTCTCACAAGGCCACGCGTATACAGCCTCCACCGGGGAAGTCATACTCACTGCCTTCTCGTGACAGGGGTGTTGTTTACGAAAATCAGAGGACGAAAAGCGAATGTCCGGCGCTTTAACCGGATCCCAAACCAATGTTGCACATGGGCTCCAGTATCCTGCGGGAACGAATGGCGTATGAACCAATCGTTGGACACCGGCTACCATGAGACTGCATCTCCTCACGATGCTCCACTGCCTTGTGGATCAGACCTTGAGGTTGAGGGCTCGGGGTGTGGCCCCCAAGAAAACCACCTGATTCGGTCTGGGCACCCGGATGTTACGTACTGAAATTGGGCAAAGCTTGCGTAAGGACCGAGAAGCCTGGTGGTCGGAGCGTGCTAATGAGCTGGAAGCAGCAGCTGCATCTGGTAACTACCGGAAGCTCTTCCAACTCATCCGAGCCACTGGCAGCAAGAAGTCTGGTGTGAGTGAAACAATCTGCGAGGATGATGGGATGCCAATCACTGACATCCATCGACGTCTTGGACGATGGGCAGAATTTTTCGAAGGGCAGTTCAACTGACCTGCTGCTCCGGCAACATCGGTCAGACTGTCCTGCCCTCCATGGCCGGTGACGACTGATCCACCAAACGAGGAGGAAGTCCGCAAGGAACTCCAACTCTTGAAGCGTTACAAATCACCTGGCCCAGATGACTTACCTCCGGCTCTTTTTAAACATGGTGGTGACTTTTTGACTAAGGAATTGACGACGTTGTTTACAAAGGTTTGGGAACTAGAGAGTGTACCAACGTCATGGAATGAGTCGATAGTTGTCCCTATCTTTAAAAAGGGTTCACGTCGTTCCTGCAACAACTATCGGGGGATAAGTCTACTCCCGATTGCGTCCAAGCTATTGGCTTCCATCATACTTCGTAGGTTGTTCAAAACCCGAGAAAGATTGACTCGCGAGGAGCAGGCTGGGTTTCGTTCTGGTCGAGGATGTATTGATCATATCTTCACCCTCCGCCAAATGTTAGAACATCGCCATACTTATCAAAGGCCAACAATCGTAGTGTTTCTTGACATCAGGGCTGCCTTCGATTCGTTGGACAGGACTGTTCTCTGGGATTGTCTATTGAAGAAGGGTGTGCCTGAGAAGTTTATTAACATCCTAAAATCCCTATATAAAACACCTCAGGCAGAGTGAAGGCATGCAACCACCTCTCTCCATTGTTCCATTCGAGTAGTGGGGTTAGACAGGGTTGCCCAATCTCACCATTCCTCTTCAACTTTGCCATCGATGACATTCTGGAAACAGCTCTGATGAATGTAAGTAATTGTGGTGTGGATCTGTTGCCTGGAGAAAGACTTCTCGACCTTGAGTATGCGGACGATATTGTCTTACTGTGCGATAATGCCCAAGGCATGCAATCCGCACTTAATCAGTTGGCAATCAGTGTCCGTAGGTATGGTATGTGCTTTGCACCTTCGAAGTGCAAAGTACTCCTACAAGACTGGCAGGATCCCAACCCTGTACTCACCCTGGATGGTGAGCAGATAGACGTAGTCGAGAAGTTCGTGTATCTGGGTAGCTGCATAAGTGCTGGTGGGGGTGTGAGTGATGAGATCAATGCACGTATAGTGAAAGCCAGAGCGGCTTATGCCAATCTGGGCCATCTTTGGCGCCTTCGTGATGTTGGTCTGGCTGTAAAAGGTCGGATCTACAACGCGTCGGTGAGAGCAGTTTTGCTCTATGCTTGTGAAACCTGGTCTCTCCGAGTTGAGGACGTTAGACGACTCTCTGTGTTCGATCATCGCTGTCTCCGAAGGATTGCTGACATCCAGTGGCAACATCATGTCAGTAATGCAGAGGTTCGGCATCGTGTGTTCGGGCACAGAGATGATAATTCAATTGGTGTCACCATCTTGAAACACCGACTTCGGTGGTTTGGACATGTTCTCCGAATGTCGTCCCAGAGAATTCCACGTCGTGCATTATTTGCCGACTCTGGGACTGGTTGGAAGAAGCGGAGAGGTGGTCAGTGCATGACATGGTGTCGTGGTATGAAAGAAAGCTGCAAAGGACTGGCTTGTGTTGGTCCTTCACGACTCCCTGGTTGGGGTCTGAGAGATGGTGCTACACAGTGGCTAGAGACGTTATCAGATATGGCTCAGAATAGAAGCCAGTGGCAATCCTGCTGTAACCTTCTTTTACTTTCTTCATAAAAAGTGGTTGTGTCTCCCTTACCTGAAAGATTTCTTCCGATTATACCTTTGCGTTCCCTGATTACTAGCACACTACCTTACACCAATCTCTTCGTTATTGTTCTCTCTTTTTTGTTGTTGCGCTCCTTAGCTTTTTTTTTCTTTCTTTGTATTCCTCTCGAATTTTCATTGTTTTGTGTGGCGCATATATATTGGCGCTCTCTTGTACCAATATTCATGTGTCCCAATAAATAAAAATAAATAAATACCCGGATAGTATCACAGCCCACACACAAATATGATGAAATGTCGATATTAATGGAAAGTACTTGTATTATTTCGATTAACAATCAAACGATTCACATTATTAATATTATTGTTATTTACTACGTCAATTATTCAATCTCTTGTTTCCACTTTATGTATCCTTATTTTTAATTTATACAGCAACTCCCCTGTGGTGAGAACCCTGTCCTATCTAAACGACCTTGAGTCACTGTGTGGCCGAAAGTTGAGTGCTTCTACCGAACACCAATGTTGAGACAGTTTTTCTGAAACCACGTGCACCATTCAAACTGGCTGCCTTCAACGTTCGCACGCGTGTGCAGGTCGGACAACAGATAGGGCTGGCTATATCTTTGAAAAGTCTTAGTATCGACGTTTGTTGTCTATCCGAGACCCGTATTCAAGACTCTGGTGAAGTACTACAAACTCGCTCTCCATCTGTCGCTTCAATAAGCTTGTTTTACGTGCGTTTATCCGGGGACCCAGTGGTATCGTCTGGTCTTGCTGGCGTTGGTGTCGCACTAAGCGCTAGAGCTGAGGCAGCACTAATCGATTGAGTCCCCACTAACAATCGGTTATGTGTTGTTAGATTAGAAAGTTCCATCAAAATAAGAAGAAATCAGCGTGAGAAACGATGTCTTTTCGTCATCTCCGCCTATGCTCCGACAGATTGCAGCCCGGATGCAATCAAGGATGAATTCTACCACCAGTTAACTGTTCTTCTCCAGAATGTGCGTTTGATAGATATTGTAGTACTAGCCGGAGACTTGAATTCTCAGGTTGGGCGTCTAGGCGCAGAAGAGAGTCGTTTAGGTGGCCGGTGGGGACTTGTTGATCGCAGGACAGATAACGGGACCGTCTACTGCAACTGTGGGCAGATCACAACCTGTTTCTGGTTAAAGTGTTCCAACGTCGTAGAATGAATCGATAGTTGTCCCTATTTTTAAAAAAGGTTTGCGTTGCTTCTGTAACCACTATGAGGAGTAAGTCTACTTCCGATTGTGTCCAAACTACTGGCCTCCGCCATACTTCGTAAGTTATTGAAAACCCGAGAAAGATTAACTAACGAGGAGCAGGATGGTTTTCGTTCTGGTCGAGGATGTATTGATCATATCTTCACCCTCCACCAAATATTAGAAAACCACCATACTTATAATAGTCTTTTTTAAAATCAGGTTTGCCTTCGATTCGTTGGACAGGACTGTTCTCTGGGATTGTCTATTGAAGAAGGGTGCGCCTGAGAAGTTTAGTAACATCCTAAAGGCCCTATATACAAACACCTCAGGCAGAGTGAAGGCATTCAACCACCTGGCTCGATTGCTCCGTTCAACCGACGGGGTTAGACAGGGTTGCCCAATCTCACCATTCCTCTTTAACTTTGTTATCAGTGACGTTCTATAAACAGCCTTGATGTATGTAGGTAATGACGGTGTGGATCTGTTGTCTGGAGAAAGACTTCTCGACCTTGAGTATGCGGATGATATTGTCTTAGTGTACGATGTGTTCGGTCATCGTTGTCTCCGAAGGATTGCTGACATCCAGTGGCAACGCCGTGTTAGTAATGCAGAGGTTTGGTATCGGGTGTTCGCGCGCAGAGACGATAATCCAATTGATATCACCATCTTGAAACATCGACTTTGGTGGCTTGGACATGTTCTACGAATGTCGATTTTTGCATAATTTTGATAGGACCTATTTTATTTGAGGAGTTACAACTATGAACACTATTTTTTACATTAATCGTTCATCTGATTTCTTTATATATTTTTGTAGGCTTCACAGTATAACAACAAACTGCAACCACGCTATTTAAGTCAAGCTCATGATTCAATTGGACGTCGTTTAACATCACCTCCTACACGAAGTATGTGGTCAACTGTTGGTGGTGCTGGTGTCCGTTCAAAGCCCAGCGCAGACAATTTCGGTGGAATAAAACACAGTACACCAAATTATACTCTTGGTTCATCGACCAATCCTCCTGTAAAACAAATAGGTGTTAGTCCTTTCCAGTCGCCGGGTGATTCTAGTTATCATCGAACACCTTTGCATAATGTTGTAAATAATCGCCCACCTTTAGTTGGGTCACCACTCCATAATAACAGTATTCTTGCAAATATAAACGATGGGAATAAGAAGCAAGATGTTATTAGTACACCGGATCGTTTAGCGGAGGCTTTGCTTTCACATCGAAGGTAACCCATTTCTCAAAATATTTACTTTACTCGTTCACTTGGGCACACTTATTCAAATGAGCTTTGTGGGTAACATACTACACTAAAGTAACGGAAGTGATCCTGGTTATGAAAAGCTAATAACAATTTGACTGTATTCCCAAGTAATTTATATGAGCTCAAATAAATGTCGCCCTGACCATATTCTCACTTTTCATGCCATAAAATGTAAACGGGTGGCATATTCCTTGATTTGCAGTTAAAAATATATTATTATTCAGAAGGTCTTGTCAGTACTTGTTACTGTCAGGCTTACACTATAGTATATCCGAAAACCTGCAGACATCGAAAATTCCCTTTGCTTTTTGTCTGTTACTATTAGTTTGCACTAAGAACCACATCCATGTACATGTTTATTCGATTATGTCGAGTATCTTTATGAAGTTAATTTTTTCCGTTACTTATCCATCAAAATAAGCTAATGAAATAGTCTCACAAAGCAGAATCTACTAATTAATTGATATAAACCTGTACGTAATTACTTTACAGGGAGTCAATCTGTTGTCATTCTCTTGTTGGTCCATTTCGTTTACTAGTGACATCTATTTGCTTTCCAAGTATTGAGTATTCTGCTTAAAATTTTCCTTTGTAGATTATGTGTTAAGTCCACTGTTGATCTTTAATAGTCTTTCCATGAACTGTAATCTATCTCGTCAATTTTGTAGATTCAATCATAAATGATTACATTTCGACAAGTAGATCAATATGCGCCTATTATGATGTTTAGTGGCCATATACTTAACTGCTTCATTTTCCATAAACTTTCTAGTTGATTACAATACAAATAAAATGTGAAATGTAACAATGAATTCGAAAAGATAACATTGTCACCATTCATTACAATAATTGAAGATTGACCTAATCTGTTTAAGAAACTTAATGTATACATGTATGATTTCTAAGCAAGCATTGCTAACTGTTATTCATTTAACCTTATTATTCCTTCCTATTTGTTTTTTTCATGCTTATTAGTTCCAACGACTTTGATAATGCGAATCCACATGATTGTTGGGTAACTGTTTTCGGGTATGTGTGTTGACTATTTTATGTATCCTTCTCTATGTTAACATTATTACAGTACATATTTAAGGTTACTCATGCCGTGTGTAGTAATAAAAGCACTTTAAATGTGAATATTATTATTAACTCATCTCCAGGTATCGATTCATGTACTTGGCTTTGAGCCATGCTTCAATTGTAAAGGTTAATAATACTCTCCGGCTACCTAAACCGAAGTAGCTAAATCGAGGTTCAAAACTAAGGATGTGTTAATCCCTAATTTGACCGTAGGAAGTGAAGTTGTTTATTTTACCAAGAAAATTTTATTTGCAGCAGCTTGCTGACCTACGAAATCCCATCACTCTCAAAAAGGTTCATATGCCTTTTGCTAACTCGAATCGTTTGTTGCATAGTTAAGATATCCATCCACCTATCAATAAGCAAAAATGCTATACAACAGTTTTTTCTGTATTGTTTTGGTGCTGCAAAACAGCTTTAATTATTTCGAATTTGTATGGCTTGGTCGTATTTAATCAGAAAATTTTTCGAAGGATTGCTCGTATGTGGTAAGTAAGCAGCTCGTAGGTTAAACGTAGGCTATTAGTTAGAGATGGTACATCAAGAGACCTTATCACCTAGGTAGTTGCAACATATTTTATGTACGCCCAGCCACTTACCTCAATGCACACTGTCGGGTGGAATGGTAATAGGTTGGAAGAAAACAAGAGGGAGCTAAACCAATATGTGTTATCATTCCATGGAGTCGTCAACCACTGAACTAGAGTATGTTAGTAGATGCAGATTACCTGATAAGGGTCCGCGCGTTAACGGTTGTCAATGTTTTGAGGGGTTGGGTGACATGGCTCAGAATTAGTCGGAGTGGTTTAGATGCATTTATTCTTTGGTGTTCATTTTGATAACTCCAACTCACTGTGTTAGCATGGTATGAGAACTTAAGCTTACGCAGTTTTATGCCAGATTCTACGTTGTTTGTGATTGACTGGCTGAAATGGTAGATGAATAAATTTAAGCAGTAAAATGTAACCTATCGTAAGCTATCTCGCATTTAGTAGGTTATGATTTATGATCTGCTTTATGTCCAAACTTCAGAAAAGTTTTCTTCTATCTTATCACGACCTAAATTTAGGTTCCCTCCATCACGAGCTGCATTTATTCTTAACCAGTTCGCTCAACTGGGTACAATAGAAAAACATGTGGTTAGTGTGTGGTTTTATATCTTTTGTGTTTTAACTCATAGTACTTATTGTGAGTCAGTAGTATAACTCTTTAATAATCAAATTAAGTGACTATTTATGCAATCTGAGCTCTTTTTTCTTAATTACCTCTTAGTTATAACTGTACATTGGTCGATAGATTTTGTAACTGAATATAAAATTAGTATCGGTCAAGTGATTTTGGTTTGGTCAGCCTATGAATATCTAAAATTAAGAATAAAACATAAAACGAGAGCTCTTGACTCAGCATATACAGAGAATAAACTAAAATAAAAGCATAGAAGTGGGAACAGGGAATAGGTTACTTAATACGGAGAATAGAAAAACAACCAGTCAGTTATTAATACTGATTATGCAATAGCACATTGTAACGCATGTTACTGATTGAATAAGGTGTTTAGTAAAGAGATTTGTGTAGTCTGAAGATGGTTCGTGTAACGAACTGAAGAACGGTTGGGAAAATGGTCAACATCGGATGTTTTTTGTTTACGGGCTCCTTTTTGCAATGAACAGTGCAATATAATACGTAGTTAAACCCAAGAGCCACCTGCAGGTTTTGCAACCTTTACTGTACCTTTAGATCACTGGGTTGGATTCCTGGACCGAATCACAAGTAAAATTGTGGGTTTATGTTTATGAGTCCAAAAATATTCTATCCCTTATTTCTTAAATCCCGATAAACTTATGATTTCTTATGAATTTATTATTTTAATTGTATTCAGTGATAGGGTACATCCAAGCAAAAGTCATTTTCACATTTTCAAGAGTTAAACACTCGAATCACATTCAGTTAGAATTCTCGCACATATTCCATAGTGATTAAATTTACTTGTGTTGAGTGAAGCAAGACGAGTGTAACATGGCGAACGTTTCATAATCAGTCACGAAGTACTGTATTAAAGTAGAACACAAGTGGGGCAATTGAATGCATTTGAACACGAAATTACAGAATATCTCACTAAAATCTGAGAACCATACAGTAAATATTTAATTTGCAAAATATCAACCAGTCGTCTCAAACTTGACTGTTTCTTTTGCAAGTATCAGTCCATCGTCACAGATTTCATCGTTCATGTATTTTCATGCCGATTGAGTTCCGTTTCCGTTCTTTTCTTATCGAACTTCTACTGAAATATATTCTAATCCTGACTATCGTTATATACTACTTATATGAATATAAGTAGCTCACACCACAGTACCACCATTATTATCGCAATCCATCAAAGAATATAGGTAACACCAAATCGAAATTCTCATATCTAATTCCATTTGTTGACAATCATAATAATCCTTTAAATAATTGATGACAATCATTTTCCATTCATTATTACCCAATTTCAAGATCTCTAGTTTATAATCATTGTATTATCTATATCTATGTTTCTCCTTTCAAAACTTCTTCTAGATTACAAACAGTGGTAATTGGATGCATATTAAATATCAAAATAAAATGCAAGCTCATTGTGCTTTAAATAAAAATGGTAAAGTATTCGGGGATAATACCATGGTCGGTGTATCAGTCTGTAATGATTCGGTAAGGATGGAAATGTCTTTTTATTACATATATACATGTTTGCGTTGAAGTTTTATGCCTATTTAAAAAAATTACTTTCAGTAGTGTCAATCATTAGGTCAGATATTCAATTTCATTTTTAGTTCATAGTAATTTAAGTAAGCTACACTTTCTAGTTTTCATTTATTAACATTTAACTAGTTCCCAATCCTTACTAAACAGTTTATACCTTACCATGGTGGTCTTTCTTGACTTGGAAGCAACACTTGACTCCGTAGACCGCGAGATTCTGTGGCAGTGTCTGTCATTGAAAGGCGTACTTCAGAAGTACATAAACCTTGTAAAGGCTCTTTAATCGAACACTACTAGTAGAGTCAGAGCTTATGGCGAACTGTCATCTGCTTTTGCAACCTCAAGTGGTGTCCATCAAGGCTGTTCACTTTCTCCATTTTTGTTTAACTTCATCATAGACCTACTGATGGAAATATCATTCTCGTCGACTGAATTCTCGGGTATTGATCCCCTTCCAGGAGGTCCACTTATCGACTTAGAATACGCGGATGACAGTCCTGTTTGGTGAAGACGCTGATAAAATGCAGAGGCTTTTGGTAGCACTAAGCAACAATGCCAGAATGTTTGGAATGCGCTTCTCTCCCTCGAAATGCAAGTTGTTGCTTCAGGACTGGTCTGCGTCAACACCTGAACTAAGGATAGGGAGTGAAGTAGACGAACGCGTTGACAACTTCACTTGTTTTGGAAGTCCGATCAGCCCAAATGGGTTGGTGTCTGACGAAACCTCAGCACGGATTCGAAAAGCTTGTTTGGCTTTTGCCAACTTGCGTCACCGATGGCGAAGACGAGGTGTCTGTCTATCAATAAAAGGACGAGTATACTGCGCGGCATTCCGTTGTGTTTTAATTTACGGCTGCGAAACGTGGCCATTAAGAGTAGAAGACACTCGTAAGCTACTAGTATTTGACCACAGATGTCTTAGAAATATTGCTGGCATCTGTTGGGATCACCGGGTAAGTAACAGTGAGGTTAGACGCAGGGTATTAGGAAATGATGGTAAATCAGTTGATGCGGTTATGAATCTTCATTGACTGAGATGGTTGGGCCACGTGTTATGTATGCCTGAATACCGAATGCCACGACGTGCAATGCTATCCGGTGTTGGAGATGGTTGGAAGAAAGTTAGGGGCGGCCAAACCAAAACGTGGCACCAGTGTTTGAAGTCACTAACTTCTAGTCAGAGCCATGTTGGTAGATGCAGACTACTTGGTTGGTGTCCGCGTGACTTTCGTAACCAATGGTTGTAGACTTGGTGACATGGCTCAGAATCGATCACAATGGCGTCGGTGTATACACTCCCTGTCTTCCCTTAAACTAAGAGATTAAAATCACTTTATATCTTTCTTTCTACGAACCAATTCTTTCTTCTTGTACTATATCCTTATATGCAATCTTTCTCTTATATATTACCACCTTTGACATAACAATTGCTATGAATCCGATGTTCATCTTGTGGTGTTAATGTAGTATGGCAACTTGAACCGATGTATATATGTTTCTGGTCCTACGTTGTAGCTGACTGACTGACTGACTTACAAGTATAGATTTAATAAGTTCTTAATATGTTACCTTTCATTTTGCTTTCACCACTTTCCCATTATATGTGGTAATTCTATTTTAAAAGTTTAAATGAAATTGAAATAATTCTAAACCGTTTTAAGATGTTATCGTTTCACTCCACGTGGAGCCTCTCTGGGGCTACTGTCTGTCCCAAACCCGGATAAAGGCGGAGGGTTGGGTATGGGGTTAGCGACCCCATCCCGTAGAAAACTAACTCGTTAGATGAAAAAACGCTAATCAGTAAGTAAGTGAGTATCGTTTCACTAAGTGACGTTGTGCCGACACTATAAAATGTTAGTTTTCAGGAAGAGTCTATTTTTTGTATTTGATAGTTTTTAAAATATTCTTGACTATTATCTCTCAAGTCATGCAAAACGTATGTTGCTCACGATTCTTTGAATCTCTGTGTATTGTGACTTTCAATTGCCAGTGTATTTCTCAGAGATGTATTCCAGAGTTAGCGAATTGTTGTGGATGCAGAGGAATAGACCAATAATTATCATGTTAAGTCCAATGGTGTCCTTGGACTTTAAATGGACATTGCCTATTGGTCGATATCTGTTCACTTGTTAAATATTGTACAAAATGTTGTTTTCTATTTTATGGTACGATGTGGTATGCTTGATTGGTATACAAACAAAGTATGTTTGAAATATAATGATTCATATCTCCGAGGCTGTGGCTTGTCCTCTGGACTCAACTGGCTGGGCTGGACAGGGAAGCAGGACCAATCAGAACTGTAGGCCGTTCGTACGTGTTTACGTGTCACTGTAATCGATCGATAACACAGGGTAGAAATCGACCGCAACTTAAAGCCATAACAACTGGCGACGGAGAATTTTTTTTCTTTCCTATATTGATTGATCCAGTACAAAATGCCTGTTTCATTGGATGACCTTAAAACTATTCTTCAAATGCAGCAAGCACAAAATGATGCAAATCAAATGAAGCTTTTGGATGCATTGGCACGAATGTTCTCATTACAGTCGTCCTCAGCTTGTCAATCAGATAAGCATGAAAGCATCATAAATTCTATTTCTGAATTCAGAGAATCCAGAGTTTAGCGTTCCAACTGTCTTGTCTTCTTTCACTTGCGTGCTTGCCAACCAATCAGGATTTAGAATAGTTCTCTCTACCCCAATCGAACTCACGCGTATTAGACTCAAGGTTAAGCCACTCAGCCTAACGCGTCAAGGTCATAATTTAGATTAGACAGACCAAGGCCAAGTCATAACAAGTATCACGGGGTAAAAGCGATTCAAGGTCATAACACGAATAATTGTAAATCTGGTATAATTAGGCACCAAGGAAAGTATGCACTAGACAAAACAAAATAACATCATAAGGAACACAATGAGGGAATAGAAGTACAATTAAAAGATGAGTAAATAAGAATAGTATATCATGCGATTGATACTTCAGTTCGAAATGTAACCAACAAAAACCACTTTCAGTTAAGAGAGTCCCACTGTAGGATATTACAATTAGCTTCTATTCTGAGTCATTTCTCATAACGCTTCAAGTCACTGAGTTACACTACCTCTAGAACTGCTAACGAAGAGTGTTGGTGAACTGACAGATGCCGGTTCTATGGAGCTTTCTTTCATACCACTATGTCATGTCATAGCTTCGACCACCTCTCGATTTATCCCACCCAATCTTACTGTCAACAAATAATTCCCAATGTGGAAGCCACTGGGGATCACATTGATAAAATATATCTAACCAAAATATAATATTGAATAAAGCCATTAATAATAATAATAATAATAATAATAATAATAATAATAATAATAATAATAATAAAGACCTGTATTACAAGATAATAGCATCAGATTAACTATCACTACCGCCCCCGATTATTCATTCCCATACTTCAATGCAGTACCTCCAAATCATCTTGGGTTGTGACTATCTGGTTAGCGAAAACAAACCACCAGCATTATTAAATCACGTTACATATTTATCCATGAATTCATAGCTTATCTCTTTTAGCTTCGTACTTTTCTAGCATTTTTTCCGTGTCATTTTCATGCTTATTTCAAATATGTTTTCTCTTTTATTTGTAGGAAGTTATGAATGATGAAAAGTGTGGCCTGTTTTCAAAGCAAACAAACCCATGTAGCATGAATGATTCCTTATTCCTTAGTCCATCGAATGTTCATCATAATCCAATGAATATGAAACGTACTACTGATGAAAACTGTAAAACAACAACCGGTGCAATGAATAAAACACCATTACGCGACTTAAGCGGACTAAGGTCGTTGAATGGTGTCGGCGGCGTTGGTAATGGTGCAACTAACTCTGGCATTGATTCTGCTAATATTTTTGCAGACAAATCAGCAAATAATATTGGAAGACATAATTCTATGCGATCATTAGCTGCATCGACACGACCAACAAATTTATCACGAACTACTAGTGTAAGTCTTATTATTGAATTGTTATCAAACTCCCATCGTTTAAATCACAAACTGATCCTAACTAAACTGACTATCATTGAAAACGAAGAAGGACTAAACGGGTGTTTCATCTCAGTGTAGGACTCCTCACTCTATCTATGTTTAGTTACTACTGTGTTGTGAAGTTTATTTTCAAGGATCTTAGTGAATACGACTCATTGATATTACTTAATAATTACCGATTAGCTCTTTTTGTCATAGTTTAAAATTCACCGGGTTATGTACATAATCAGTGAATTGTGTAATCACATTCAAAAAGCTACCATTGTCCTAAATATCACTGGCCTAATATTTCATCGAGTACTTGATGTAATGCTTTGTATCAGTTTCATAGGTTAAAGGATATGAAATGAGAATAAGTGTAATATAAAATCTTTATTCAATTTACTGTATTTTCATTAGTACATTAGAGAAAGTCAGTCAGTCAGCTACAACGTAGGACCAGGAACATATACACATCGGTCCAAGTTACCATACCTCATCAGCACAATAAGATGAACACCGAATTCATAGAAGTAGTTAATTCAGTGGTGGTAATATATAAACACAAAGATTACATATAAGGACAGAGTACAGGAAGAAAAAAAATTATCAAGTAATTCCAAAGTTTAAGGGATGACAGAGAATGTATTCATCTACGCCACTGTGATCGATTCTGAGCCATGTCACCCACAGTCTACAACTGTTGGTTACGATAGTCTCGCGGATCCCAACCAAGTATTCTGTATCTACCGACGTGGCTCAGACTAGAAGTTAGTGTCTTCAAGCACTGATTCCACGTTTTGGTTTGACCGCCCCTAACTTTCTTCCAACCATCTCCAATACCGGATAGCATTGCACGTCGTGGTAATCGGTGTTCAGGCATACGCAACACGTGCCCCAACCCTCTCAGTCGATGAAGATTCACAACGTCATCAACTGATTTACCATCATTTCCTAATACCCTGCGTCTAACCTCACTGTTACTTACCCGGTGATCCCAACAGATGCCAGCAATATTTCTAAGGCATCTGTGGTCAAATACTAGTAGCTTACGTGTATCTTCTACTCTTAGTGACCACGTTTCGCAACACTTTTCAGCTAGTCGATCTAAGTTGGTAACTTAAGTTTGTCAAGATTAACTTAAATATTACTTATTTGATAGTCTTGTTATACACGAGGAATATTTTAAAGAAATACATGTATTCTCATAACAGTCATCACCACGAAGAAGAAAAAGTATTAAAGACTATTTTGTCTTTCTCTTAACATTCAACGTGCTACACTGGGAAACTTCTTGGGTGACTTAATGTGTTGGACTTGTTTTATGAATATAATCTCAGCAACTTCCACAACGGGAATTATTTGTTGACAGTAAGATTGTGTGGGATCAGTTCAAAGGTATTTGAAGCTATGATATGACATAGTGGTATGAAAGAAAGCTCCATAGAACTGGCATCTGTCAGTTCACCAACACTCTCCGTTAGCAGTTCTAGAGGTGATGCAACTCAGTGACTTGAAGTGTTATGAGACATGACTCAGAATAGAAGCTAATTGTAATATCCTACGGCGGTTTTCTTTTACATTCTTCATAAAAGTGAAAGGGATTCTCTTGACTGATGCCTGGAGCCCCCTGGGGCTACTGCTGGCCCTAAGCCCGGATAAAGGAGGAGGGTTGGGAATGGGTTAGCGACCCCATTCCGTAAAATATTAAATAAAAAACGCTAACCAGAAAATATAATATTTCGAACTAAAATATCAATCACATGATATACTGTTCTTATTTAGTCATCGTTTAATTGTACTCCTTCATTTCTTCATGATATCACCTCTTTCTTCTGTATGGTACTTAGTATTTTTGATCTCCAGGAGTACAAGTATCTATGTGTATTAAATAAATGTATATAAGTCACGATATTCTCGCAGATATCAACCTCTCTCAGACTTCGTTTAACATCCTTCCTATAGTTTTTAGTTAATAGGCTTAACTAACTCATTTATTGTCGTTTTTTTTTTAAATAAGAAAAAGACTAGAACAAAAAAAGACATTATGCAACTTGGATAGCTGTTCATTGGTGAATCAGTTTGGTTTTATATTTATTTGATAAATATTTACCAAACAGTTGTTATATGATATTTTTCTATCTAACCCTGTTCTTCAACTAATTAAATATGACAAAATTTTCTTTATTGTTTCTAAATTATATTTTAATTTAATAGTTGAATTCATGAGTCAATTAAATCTAGACCATCATGGAAAACCTGGAAGGATTTGACGGCTTTTTTGTCCTAGTAGCATTGCGCATCCACGATCCCACTCCTCGGGACTCGAACCCAGGATTTATCGGTCTCGCACGCGAACGCTTAACGTGTAGATCAATGAGCCGGCATTCAACAGTGTTAATGTGTAACTTCAACCAATCGTAGATGCGCATTGCTGAGAAGTCCCATACTAGGACGAAACGGTCGTCTAGTCCTTCCAGGTTTTCTATGGTGGCCTAGCTTTAATTAACTCATGAATTCAACTATTAAATTACTAAAATTTCCACAAAATCATCTTCTGATAATATTTTAATTAACTATAAATCTATCGCTCAAATTTACGTCAAAAACAAACTTATCCTTGTACTTATTGTGAGCTGGTATGTAATTTATATTGCCGAATTATTTGTCAGTTTAACTAATGAAAGATTATTTGACTCAACTCATTTGGTGCTCTAGTTGATAGTCAGCAGAAAATGTGAGATGTTTTCATGAAAAAGAGGGTTGTTCATTATATTGAACAGATTATTAACTGCATCAGTGAGATTAATGTGATTGGCATAGGCGGAAAATATAAAGATAATTAAAGATAATTAATGTAATTTGCCTTAAAATGTGTTTGTCTTACCAGATTTGTCTCCAAGTAGAGTCTTACTTAATATTCTCTCTAATTCAAACATAGAATAGATTAATCCTGCTTGAATTTAGATAATTCTTATGTCCAGTGGGTTAAAGGCGGCCAAACCAAAACGTGGAATCAGTACACAAAGTCACTAACTTCTAGTTTGAGCCATGTAGGTAGATGCAGACTACTTGGTTGGGATCCGCGTGACTATTGTAACCAATGGTTGTAGACTGTGGATGACATGGCTCAGAATCGATCACAATGGTGTAGATGAATACACTCTTTGTCTTCCCTTAAACTAAAATATTAAAATCACTTCATATCTTTCTTCCTGTACTATATCCTTATAGGCAATCTTTGTTTTATATATTACCACCACTGAATTAACTACTTCTATGAATTCGGTGTTCATCTTATTGTGCTAATGCAGTATGGCAACTTGAACCGATGTATATATGTTCCTGGTCCTACGTTGTTGCTGACTGACCGACTTTGTCCAATTGGATTTAATGGCGACTGTCATTCAGTTTTGTGTCTCTAAAGAAGTAATTGTTTTATAGATTAGATTAATCAACCACTTCACAACTTTTCACTAATCATTTATCTACTATCTCAAAACCCACTGTGTTTATACTTCCTACTAACAATATAGATTTATATATTATCGTTTTAACTTCATTGAAACTAATTGTTTCATTCATTACTATCGTCTATTTTTTCTTCTTCTCCTTCTTCTTCATCATATTGAATAGGTTCGACAGGATAGAGATTCAGGATTATTTTCTAAAGCATTAGGTTATATGTTTGGCTGGTCATAGAAACAAAAAAACCCACTTGACATATCGATATTCCTATTCAATAGACTGATTTGTTTAAATGTATCATTTATTGTCGTTGGTCCATGTCTCAATATTACATACAATCAGTTTCTTCTTCTTTTTTTTTAAAAAATAAACAGTTATTGTTTCACCTTCTTTTTAACCATTTGTGAAATAGAAGTATTGAATTATCTTTGTACAACAATTTTATTCTTAATTTTTTTGTTCACCTTATTATTCAAAAGATTTTATGAAGTAAACTACAATAAAAAGAAGTATTCGGTATTATTTGTTGAGTCTTAACCGGGTTGATGGACATGGAGAGTCCACCTAGGGGAGTTGGAAAACTCTGATTCCAAATCAATGGTGCACATGGGCCCCAGTATCTTGAAGCAACAAATCTTGTTTGAACCAGTCGTTGGTTACCGGCTACCATGGGATTGCATCTCTATACGATGCTCCACTGTCTTGTGGATCAGACCTTTAGGTAGAAAGCTCCGGGTGTGGCCCCATAGGAATACCACCTACTTCGGTTTGGGCACCTGGACAGTATCACAGCCATCACAAAAATCAAATGAGATTTGTGTGGCGCACTTGTATCTGGTGCCCCAGTGTACCAATATTTATGTGTTCAAATAAATAAATAAATTAGGTACTGTGTACGTGATCGTTGAAGCACTGTTCATATGTATTTGAATTATCATAAGACAAATACTGAGGTTATATCTATAGTATTAGGCAAATCAATCAGTCAATAATGTTGTGAATCTTCATCGATTAAGATAATTTGGACATGTAATTTGTATGTTCTGTCATGGCCTACCTCGACTCGTGATGTTCGTTGGTCTAGGAATAGGTTAAAAGAAAAAAAAGGGAAGGGGGTCAAACCAAGATAAGTTATCGGTCCATGAAGTCATTGACTGTTGGACTGAGTCTTATAGGTAAGTGCAGATCATCTGGTTAGGGTCCGCACAATTATAATCAATGGTCACAGATATTGGGTAACATAAAACTGAGAATCGTAACCAAGTTGTTTCTACAAAATACGAAGGTAAATGCATTTGGACAATATATAAATCATAGAACAAAGATAATGCTAAAACTACGTCTATTAGTCATGAAGATGGGGAGAAATCCTCAGGGTTTAAGTATTTTTTCGTACTAAATGACCATCGAATTAATTACAAATATAATTCTAATTACAAACAGCCAATTCCTTTTTAAAGCTATTGGAGTTTTAATTTCACATTGTATCGAAGTTTTACTTAGTATTTATGAGTTTAATAGTGCCATGCTTCGTCACTCAGGATCGCTTTAAAATATTCAGATCAGTAGTTAATACTCTCAAATACCGTCGTATGAAGGGGTTAAGGGCTTGGAGATATAAAAGGAAACCTTGGACCTAAGTTTCTCACTAGTTGGCGCTCGTCAGCAGTATGTGCCTGCGGTTTCAAGGTTGTTGGTGCCCTGTGTGGGGTTCGAACCCACGCCACCAGACTTCAAAGTCCGAGATGTTACTATTGAACTATCTAGGGCGTAAGTGACGGTCCATTGGGCTGAGATATTTGCATCAATTAATGAGAGTTGTAACCAGTTGTATGTTTTCCTAGTCCTTAGTGCTGACTGAAATGTGGCTACTAGTCTAAATAACCTGAAAACGAGTGTTTTTTGTTAGATTATCGGAGGCAGGCTCCTGGTGACTACCCAATGATTAGTCAGTGTAACATAAAAAAATGGTTCACTCGGTGCTGAATCACTTAGACTAATGGCCGCATTACTACTCAATAGACAATTCGATCGGGACTATATGAACATGTTACTGAATGGTCTATCAGTGCAGAAACTTAGACGTTACTCTATGAATTATGAGGTGATCTCTCTTACCTCTATACTATCACAATGTTTCGACAGTATTTATGCGGGATCACACAATAATAGAAAAAAGAGGTGTCCTGTATAAGAGAACTCTTAGAATCTTCTGAAATATAGAATTATTACATCTGTTCTGGACATATAGTTTACCCACAATCTTGGGAAACTCAACAGTTTGACACCCAGTAAGGATATACTGTCGGTCATTACAAAGAACTGGGACTTCCAGTTAATAATTGACTTAGTACGTGTCCCCTCAATGTTAGTTTGATGACAGTGAAATAGCATTCTTTACAATATAGCGAATATAATGAATGTTTCTTAGTCATGTTGAATATCAGACATGGAGAGCGGAATATTTGAAAGTTGTAATAATTGCTTACCAGCAGTTATCAAAATAATTGGAAAGGACTAGAAATTATAAAAAATAAACGAAAACGGTAGATTACGGAAGATAGAAAGGAAGTTAGGGCCATGTAAGAATGAGGGATTGAATATACTGTTATTGTACACACATGTTAGACTTGAACTGCTCGATTACAGTAGCTTCTGCTGTACATAAGTTTTTCATTTACATTCTTATTGAGTCGACTCTTCTGGTTGTATATATGATTTTGAAGGAGGCTTCTAATGAAGCGAAGTGGCCAGAATTAACATGAACATTCAGTTTAGAGAAGATACTGAAACAGAAATTCTGAAAAATAGACTTTCAAGATCTCTAAGAAAAAACGTTCTATTCGGCTGAAATTCTCATTACGTTTTCTAGTCGACCTATCATTTGAAGTTGTTTGGAGGATTTGGTTCCACTTTAGACCAAATCAATGTATATCTGTCAGTTTACTTGTTCATGTGGTGAAGGTTATACGAACTGCACAAAACATGTTCTTTCAAAACGCATCTCCGAACATTATCCTTTTTGAATATCGAAAGGATTACTCAAGTCAGTCAAAAGCTCAATCTTGAATCATCTAGTCAATTTAACTTCTAATAATTCAGTTCTTAATAGATCTCAATTGAACACTTTACCATTATTCACCAGCTGATTATTACATAACTTCCATTCAGTATCTAATTTTTAGATCTTGACAACATACTACCAAGCTTTTTAAATACTTAGAACCATTCTATCGTATTACAGAATACTACTTTGACAAATAAAATTAACTATGAATGGGATTATATAGCTTGATTGAATGAAATCAAAAAAAGAATATTCCACTGAATTGCCATCTTTCATAATTTATTGAATGTACCGTTTAAGTTCTGTATCAAATAAAAATTGATACACATGAAGCCACTGTGTTAAAACTTAATCAGATTAAGTCTAGGAAACTTCTTTTGGCAACGAAATATTATGTGGATGAAAAGAACGAATGAGAAATGTCAAATAAACGTTATTAGAGGTAAACAGTTTCTTCAGCGCTAATTCACAATGACTACGAAATATATTACATATTAACTAGTCAAGTTCCGTTTTCTCTATTTATCATATTCAACAAAAGCAATATTGAGCTTTCGACTGAGATCATCAGTCAGTTGAAGGTAGACCATTATGGAAAACCTCGGAGGACTGGTCGGCCATTTCGTTTTATTGTGAGACTCTTCAGCAATGCACATCCACGATCCCGCCTCTCGAGATTCGAATTCAAAACTTGTCAGTCTCTCACTAACCATTCGACCACTGAGCCGGCGTTCAATAGTGTTAATGTCTAACTTCAACTAATCCATGAAATTGGTCGACACATCCACCATTGTCACCAGTGAGTTACAATTTCACAACATATCCGGTTGAATTCCACTGGTCTCTGATTCTCACTAGAACTCCAGCGAATGCCTCTTGAAACCAGTCACTAGTGAGCATATGTTGATTAGTATCAGAGTACTGATATAAAAATACATGGAACGTTTTATACCTGAGTCTTAATATGTTTTATGTTATGTAAAAGAACACCATCTTGTGAAGTAGAGAATAAGAGTTAGATCGTGTCTAAAATGGTTACCACCTAACTGATATTCACAAAGATTCATTGATCATTTAAGAAAACATTGAGAATTATGAGTTGAAAGGAGCTACAATCAGTAGCTCATGCAAATTTCTTCATCTCAGTTTAGAAGATGAGGATGTTAAGATGTTACGTTATAGTATAAACATGTTCACAATAAAGGAATCCACACATAATATCTAAACTTATATCTATCAAATTACAAGTACATTGTAAGTAGTTAAAATGAACAGAACAGAAAACCGACTTACTCAATGCTTTCGAACATGCTTCAAATAGCTTTAGGATAAATGGAATTAACACTGTAGTGACCTACTTTTATCAAGAGAACATGATTGGTTTAATGAAAACAATCATTATTATAACCAATTGTACCAATGATTGTTTTACTGTGCTCGTTTGTTTAACTGTGCTAAATACAGCCATATTGCTCTTGCATTATTTTCCATTACTGTTTCCCGGTTCGTGACCCTGTTCGCACGTACTTTCTCCCGCCGATTGTACCTTATCTTGGCTCGATCTCGGTATTCATTCGATACCACGAGATCGCCAGCTAAATAAACTTGGTTCCAATCCACATTCGCCTTCTGATTTATTTGGCACGTGTTTCTTTGTAGTGGTGTTCATAGTCAACTGGGACTCGACACCACGCTACAACACAATGAGTTGAACAGTTTCTGGACATTAAATTGAAGACATAAAATAGTTCATAATTAACATCCAAGCATCAATCATCTAAAACTTTGATGAAGGTGATACTTTACAGATATAAAAACATGGTTTATGGGTTCAGAAGCAAATTACGATAAGTTCATGTAAGTCTTGGAAAAGAATAATCACATTCGATTGTATTGTACCTACGTTTGAATCGAGTTTACTTTCTCCATCAATTCCAGCAGCTTACTTATATTATTGAACTAGAACTAGTCAATCAAAACTCATCAACACAATACTCAACAAACAACAGTTTCACCAAACAGTCAATAATCCCTTCACTCTCTTCTCTCCTTCGTCCCAATACATCAATTCATGCAAATCATTCGAACGTACATCAGTGATGCATTACATTCAATTATAATTATTTCTTGTATAATTATCATAATAAATCATGTTCACTTATTGATCATTACCCTTTCGAAAATTATCACTATCCATTTACTCAATACATAGATAGATCTCATGTTAACTGAATTGATGTAGATTGATGTAGATTTCAAATGAAACAGTTGAATAATGACAGTGTAATCATGCAAATATTAATGATAATGATGCCTATAATGATGCCTTTGATGATGCCTAACGATAATGATAATTTAATCGATTATAAATGGATGTAATCTGTTTATGTGAGGAATTCGTTGATCGACTTGATTTATTTCTCTACATAATAATGAAAAGGATTGGAGTGAATA